GGGGGGGGGGGGGGGGGGGGGGGGGGGGGGAAGGAGTTGTTCTTTTTCACGGGCAAAGGACAACGAAACCACTGCTTAATCAACGTATATGTTTTATATTACATGACGACGAGAAACGCTGTGTCTTGCCCGAAAATCCAACTCGAACTTCCATGTCAGGACAAAATTTCCTGGTTTTCTGTGTGAAACGCTTTATCCGGCGTAACTAGCAGATTAAAGCTACAACCTTGCAAGACTACTTTTTAACATAACGCTATAGTAGTTACTGGACTGGACCAAAACATTCCGAGGAAGCCACTTAAAAGTTCAAATAAAAGGCTACGCTAACCATTCCGGCCACGCCAGATTTTCTTTGAACGACGTGTGAATCACTTACCCAGACACTGTCCAGTCATCCATTCCTGATCCTCGCATGATTTGTGAAGGGTTTTCTTTACCACGCTGCCTGACTCGCATACTTTTGTTGGCTCACAGTAAGAACACTAAAGAGGGTTAAGAAAAAAAATTCTACGATTCGTTTAACTTGTGTTGGTTTGCATTCATGTACACACATTGCAAATATTCCAAAGGATTGTTGTCATTTTGTCTTGAGAAATATGAGTCGATCCTAATATTTTTACTCTTTTCTCTCTATGCATGGAACGAATAGCGCGTTCCGGGCAGAGAGCTTATTCATAAAATGAAAGAGTATCATAAACCAACAACGACCACCGAGGGGGGAAGGGCAATAGTATATGGTATTCTTCACCCACCCTTCCTGTTGTACGAAGCCGAGGGTCTCAATTGTGGAATCCAAATCTGAAGCCTAAGAGTAAAACAGCGGAGGATAGAGGTAGGGGGTGGGAGGGTGGAGCAAGGTTTGGCAACCCATAACAAAGTTGCTGAAATGCGGTTAAAAGGAACAAACACCTAGAATTAGACAAAAACAATTATTCTTCCAGCTTCATTACCGTTTTCGGGAAACCTCGATGACAACAATACAATGTAATGCCTCCACGTCAAGCTATTGATCCAATCTAGCTATATTTCGTAGACCGTGGTGCTAACTTCGTAATAACGTGAACTTACCCCCGACACTTCGACGCAATCTTTACACGACTTGCCGCTGTGTATATTACAGTTAACATCTAGGGTAAACGAAAAGAGAAATAAGACCGGACTACTTTTGCACTAGAAGTTATATTTCTGGGTGTGTGGCCATTTCGGGATGTTTTGACATTTCGTCCTTAATAAGGTATCTGTATATCCCAAAATTGACCATTTTTTAAAAGTGTTTTTGGCTTTTTCTGAGATAGATGTTATTTCAGATAGATCTTATTTAGATCTTTCATGAAAAAAAAAGTTCTACGGCAAAAGCTTGATACCATGCAAAGTTACAAACGAAAAGCGCCTCTTTCCATTTATTATATCTTTTTGATAGCTGTCAACAGATGTCGCGAGAAGTAAATTTGCATTTATAACGCTGCCAAAATAAATAAACCCGGTCCTGTCTGGTTGCCTCCCTGGGTGTTTAGAATCTAAAATGTGAAACTGACTACTTCGAATTCGAATATCGTTACATCCGTGTAATTGTTATATCACTGTGGGGAATAAATTCTGGAAATGAAGCGGCACATTTTTCAGCCTGTTGCTTCGTTAAGATATTCTCCCATATATCTCCGGATTGTCACAGTGTGTTGATCGGTTTGCAATCGGAATACCGTAATTACGATTAATCGAAAGACATTTATGCATCCGGAACAATATCTTCTAATGTAAAGGTAGTCAAATTCAGTGCCTAGAAGTAGTCTTCATTTAAAAAGTTCCGTTTTCAGTAAGTCCCAAGCGGAAGCTTTTTAGTGGTCGACCGAGCGTGAATTCTTCAAACGACAAGGTTTTCCATCAATTCCTTTACCTTCGTCTGTTGTGTGCAAAAGTTCCGAATCTTAGAGTAACAAGACACCTAAAGGGGATGCTTTGGTTAGTAAGCGTAGCATTGGAATGAATTGTGAAGTTACAGTTAAGTGCGACGATTAGTTATTTAGATCAGCCATAGAAATCACTGTAGAAAGTGTTGCAGAAACCATCACTGTGTTTGTAGTGGAAAATAAGGTAGGCGGAAAATTACTGTGCGAGCACAATCTCCTTCCCCTGCTCCTTCCTCTTTCTGGGTGATCTACAAGATGGGACGAGAGTGTGCATGGTATTTAGAAGTGGCATCAAAACTGGCTGAAGTAATATATTGCAGCGTGGAAAATGGGATTTGCTTTTTTCCTAATTCGGCCATATCACTTACGTTGAGTACTGCCAGAAAATTTGAGACATTAATGGTAACGCAAAGTTTTTTAAAACGTTGCGTTAATCCAATCACAATATTTTAGTCTTCAAATTTGAAGACTAAAATATTGTGAAGGGCTGTATTGCTGTCAATGAAAGTGACAAATCTACTAAAACATTAACAGGCTAAAGTAATGATTGTCTGTTCTATAATTAGACGCTCTTTTGTGTGAGAGAAGGACTGAAGTAGGGTATTTATGAAAACATTAACAAAAGTATTGATTGTCCTTAGAGGCTCACTTGAGTGAGAGAGATACGTAACGCAACGTAACGCAACGTAACGCAACTGGTATATTGCCATAATGTATGCTTGTTTATTCGAGATAACGAAAGGATTAAACCATGCATCTTAACAAATATTTCCCTTTGTATTTATAACTGTTAACAGTGGAACACTGAAAGTAAAATAAAATCGACTGGATTAAACCTTCTCGCAAACACTTTTTACATGTGTGTCTAGCTCTGGTAAATAGGTAGCTCAATGTCAGCAAGAATACACAAAACCTTAAACATACACGTAGCACGATTGTCGACTCATGGATTGAACTGTGAAAGTTTCGATAGAGTAAAACTCTCGAGGGTTAAATATCTTCCAGTGCAAACTAACAAATATTCGATTTCATGAATTTGAGCCAAGTTTTGAAATGGTTGGTCTCGATGTTTTCCGTGATGGACTCCTTGATTTTGGAATACACTGATTCAATGAATATCGTGTGTCAAAGTTGCTTCAAACGTCTTGTTTAGACTAAGCGCGCGTTAGGCACGTAGGCCCGATGAACAAGCAGGTTCGGTTGCTGAACTCGTTGGTTCATTTGGCAGGCCGAGTGAATAGTGAACGCGTTGGTTAGATGCGTAATACGGAACGGATGATCCGCGAACTCTATGCAATTTTCACAGTTCAATTCAATACACAAAGTCGAAACACCTTCTAAAATTAAATGTCTTACCTTCTGTCTATTTCCTGAACACGTACACGTTGCTACGAGCATTACATTGTCTACACAAGCTACTCCTTGCCAGAATCGCAGAATCTTTCGAAATTACAGTACTTTTACTCCTGTGAAAGTCATGTCATCTTGCATTTGCTTCCAAGTTTAACCTTCCAGCTGTGGCGTGCATTTCATTGTCAATCAAATTTGTCGATTTGCGTCGACGATGAAAAAGGAACCCCGGGCAAACCTTACCGTGGCCTGCCACAGGCATCCCACGGGAAAAAAAAAAAACTAAGCTAACACTTGGGCATGGCCAGTTATAATTTTAAAACCGTCTAGCGCGATAAAGCAAAATTCAGACCACCAGACGAAAGCTCTGCTCCTTCAATTTGAATGGTCACACATTAAAGGTATCAGCCACAGAACGAAAGGAGTGATTGGAATCATTTCATACAACATAACAAAAACGTGACATACAAGCATTACAAAATACGTGGCTTTCATTAAACAATGATTGAAGGCATTAATCAGACACACAAGGTTTTCTCTAGTCTGCCTCCCTGCAGTGATTTTACCGTCACACAACGTTCCCTTAGAAGCGTTGTCTGGTCTTGTTTAACGCCGTCACAACAATTTGGTCTCTTCATTCTAAGCCGCAGAGCGGGCTTGACTCTGCTCCCAGTCTGTAGGGGAAGTATATCCTAATGCTCTGCGTTTTAACTACATATAAACACAGCTTTTTCGATTATACTATGGCGGTTTATCAATTCTTTCACATTCGGTCAAGTATTCAGTGCCGATGCCTGCCATTTGCTTGATATTTTTAAACTACAAACAAATTAAAATTTGTTTACTCAAATGCAATGACTCACCAGCTTTGGCCGCGTGAGACCACGACTGTATGTAAAAGAGAATTAACAGCAAGGCAGAAGTCAAGAAATAGTCTGAACGAAACATCGATAACCGCTTCGTGGCGTACAAGTCGATATAAGCTACCGTCAACAACGAATACAGCCACGTTTCCGCCACGCGGGGCATACAGATTTCTGGGAAGGAAATGAGGTCATCGTGATGTCCGAAAGGGAAAGAGCAACCGAGATTATATACTGATTTGATGACCTCAAGGTTGGTACACACTGGAGGACATAACGAAGCGGGGGCATGTTGCAGCGATAGTTTTGTTTGTGCGACAACATATTGCAAGGAATTCAGGTCTTTATATTTTAGACGTATATTTGTTTATTTCATTTCTAGGTGAATGAATGAGTACAAATTATGTTGTTGTGGTTGGAATTTCTACATCATGTATCATTAAGATGGGACAAAATGACCTCAATTCTCAGTGTCGCATCGTGTGTGCTGCTCTCTCAATCTGTCCCCACTACGAAAAAGAATGAACCAGTATCAGCTTCATGTGCTCAAGCATATGCGTCCTTTGTGTACAAAATGTTTAAGCAAGCAACCGGAACGATGATCCTGCTGGTATACGTTGGATCAATAGTGATCTAATCGGCTTTACATATAAAATGAAGAACACAAAAGCAGAAACCGACACAACGTAGGATGATTTTTTGAAGGTGTACTATATTTCGGCTGGCCAAACCAGCCTTCTTCAGGTACAATGAGAATTTTACATTGGGACGTATTTTTATGTAGCCGATATTTTCGTAATACCGAAAATACGCAAAAGTAATTGACAATGTAAATTAAAGATAAGCATACGGTAAAATAAAATAACATAATAAGAGAAGATAATAAAAGAAAACAAATGGAAACAATTAATGTTTCTTCACGTATGTTCAGACCATCAGGATCAATTGTTCTGCCTTTTTGAATTAAAAAAGCTTCCCTGGCCTTACGGATAGAGTCTGATCGGTTCGAAAAGATTTTGTCCATGTACACACGGAGGAGCTTATCCCCGCCTCACGCCCTCACGATATGTCCCCTTGTGTGAGCCGACGTTTATGTTCTGTGAACTTGAACGCTTGCCGGACTTATTAAATTAGTTCATGTTCTACGCTGTGGTCATGGTAAACCGGTATTATGCTCTTGACTCTGGCCTCCCACCAAATTTCTCTTTACGAGATACATGAGCGCGCGTCTCTGAAAGGGCACCGCACGCAAAAAATCTTCACTTGTCGGCTAGTGTGCGTTGAATTCAGACAAGTCTGCGACAAGATCGGTGCTTGTCGGGCGATAATTTATCTGACAGTGCTAGATCTCAGAATGTCTTCTCGGACTCTTGCAGTCTTCGATCCAGTAATACGTCTTCAGTGGTGCTCCTAGCGATACGCTCAAGAAGACCTCAAGAGGTGGGTCTTTCTGCGCCGTTGTGCCGAAACCATGGAACAAAATGCAAACAGACATTTTAAATGGAGATAAATTACCTTCATTTTATAAGTGTTTATTGAAGGCAATCTTTTAGGCTTGCTATTGTATTTACTCGTGACGTTTTTCGTTTTATACATCTTTCTCAGGTGGGGTATTTTATTGTTTTCACTGTTTGCTCTTCAACTTTAATTTAATCCCAGTTGAATTTTCTATTTTATTGTATTATGTAATACGTTTTTCATCAAGTTATGGAATTAGCACACGTAAGTTATCGCTTTAGCGTTTTGTATTAATAAAGCGATAGAGCGGTTTTCGTTCGAGTGTCATAAGACCAAAGCCAAACCAGTTACTTATCAATTAGACTACTGAGCCAATCGCAAACCGTAGTAAAACCAAAACCAAAGGAATTACCTGATTCCTTTCGACACTCAATTGAAAACTGCTCTATAGATGTGTAACTGAATGTGTATGCATTGATGCCGGCGTTGAAGTTATTTGTCTTACTTATTTCATGATATTATTCATGGCGGATCAATGGGGGGAGGGGGGGGGGGCGGGGGAAGAAGGGCCGGATTATTAAATTTTTGACCGCAAAAACTGCCGGAAACGAGGGTTTTATCTGTCCATCTGTATAGTTCCTCGAAACAGAGATTTATCTCTTTAAATTGAAACGAGGGTTTATCTGTTAAAAATCCTGAAACGAGGGTTGTATCTGTTAAAAACCCTGAAAAGAGGGTTTTATCTGTTAAAAACCCTGAAACGAGTGTTTTATCTGTTAAAAACCCTGAAACGAGGGTTTTTTCAGTTGAAATCCTTGAGACAATATTTTGATCTGTATCAGTCCCTGGAACGAGTAATTTATCGGCATAAGTCCCCGAAACGAGTGTTTCATCCGTTTAAACCCCTGAAACATGGATTTTATATGAATAAATCCCTAAAACGAGGGATTTTTCTGTCCTCTGCATGAGTAGTGCATTCCCACTCGATGCTTTGGGACAATTTGATCAAAGAAATATTTTGCTACGGATCTTGGGTTCGCAATTTCATCGATAATGGCGCCGGGTTGTGATCTTAGCTTTGCAGCAATTTGGCTGCCACTCAAACGTTGTCGTGTGGGAACTTTGCGGAAACTATAGCACTGTGTAATTTAAAACTTCGTGGTTTCGAGCAAAACTAACTCTCCCGCAGATAGCATAGGAATAATTTGTAGGAAGGAAGTAGGAAAACAGTTCTATATAAACTTAACTGACTGACAGTGTAATAACAATTAATTTAATTTTTTGTTTTGTTTTGAGATCTTCATGGACATCGTTTACCAGTTGATACTCACTAGTTGACCTATTGAAGCACAATTCCACGCTTCACGCTTATCATCAACCAACAGACATTTCTGGTTCAACCGCAAACAAAAAATTGTGATATAGGCAAACCGGCTTAAGGTACTAGTACTCAATAGTTTAACTGACTAAAGCTTGGCTACGTTAGTTAGCAACGAGGCATGTAAAAATGAATCTCATTTTCTATGCATTCCGAGATTAATTAGCATATACACTAGTTTTGCATCTCTCAGATTTGCTCACTAATACCTTTATATTGCAAGACACAAATTTTGAGTTAAATGGATACTAAATATCAAGAGGAAATAGTCGCAAAATGCAGCCAGTAAAAAGGCGTTGAGATGTCTACCGAGGTGAAACTCTCCTTCGATCTTAACTGGATTCTAGATTTTCCTCAGTTGCCACAGAGAAATTGTTTTTGTGTCACTTTGACATCCTCGAGGTCATGATTTTGCTTGAGAATAATTTTCCATTGTGATAAATTCTTTGTCCCAGCCAAAAACCGCTGATCTGAGATAAGGGGAAGTGCCTGTCACATTGGAAACCTAATGATCTCAAATCGTTAGGTCCCAAAGCTACAACCATGGACAAATTGTGTTAGAAAAAGCCAAAAACATGAAATCTTAACATAATCCCTACAGAATAAGTGTCAGCACCCCCATTCCCTCTTTCAATGTTAAAAAATGGTGAAATGCAAACTTGTGTTTAAAGTGCCTATGAAGTAAAAAATAATTGCTGCTAATTTGAAAGGTTTTTCAAAGTAAAGAAGATTGGCCTTTCCCTTTTTGGAATATCTTTTTTTCATTCTAGAGATATTTACATTTTTGTATTATGCAAATGAGGAAAGTGATGAGGTCATAGGTGGTTTCACTTGAACAGTAAAACACTGATTCAAGAATATCTCTAGGAATATTGGAGCAGCGTTCTTCAAACTTGGCACCACAAATGTGCATCACAAAAGAAACAGAATGACACTTTCTGTGTTGTTGCCATGGCAACTGTTCTGGCTCAGGTCTCTTTCTGTGAAAAAACAAATATGCCAATTTGCAACCTTTTGAAAAGGGACAGAGGGTCTTACTCGGAACACACATGATTCCCATACTGTCTTAACTCTCCCCATTAGATTGTTGGGAGTGGATGATCCTTGTTTAAGATAAAATCTGGTAATGTTAGTTTTAATT